TTGATCAGTGCTTAGCTCCCTTCCCCTGGCAGACAGGTCATATTAAATCAAACACTAGTACATCTATGAAGAAAACTTTCCCAGAGGTGATCCTATAAAGTGTTCTGCTCACTGGGGTGTCCCTTAGAAACTTCAGGTGTCACTTGATTCAAGTAACAAGTGATAATTCAAGTAAGCTGGAAGCTCTAGTGTAAGCTGGAACATTTTGTACTGCATCTTCTATTTTATGCATTATTTATATGCATATTTATATGCATTTATATGCATTATTACAGTTTCCTGCATTAAAAGCAGTAACTGTGGTGTTGAGATCAAATCTACAGTAGAGAAAAGCCAGGAGTAAGTGGTACTATGGAAAAGTTGCTGCCACAGGATCCCATGCAGAGAACCAGTTCTCCTTCATAGAGACATTTGTTCTTTTAACCTCATGCTTGTTCATTCAGATAGCTAGCTTAGCAGAGAGGACAGGTTAAGGCACCTACTGCCCATCCAGTTTATTGCAATGCCTAACCCTTTCTCTTTAGTTCAGCATCAACTTCTTTCTAAATCTCATTTCTTTTTCATCAGTCAGCATGATTCTCCAGCCCGTAACAGAGAACCTGGCTGAAAGGAGAGACAGCTTCATTAAGTGTTCAAGCAAGCTGTGCATGAAATCTAAATTAGGAATCCAAAGCCTGAAGGAAGTAGAACTCTGCATATATGTGGAAAATAAAGCACAGGAGTCATGGGACACCAAGTATAGGATTAGCGGGTTCTATACTTCTGCTGTTCCTTCAAAGCAAGAGGACAGTATAGCCTCTGATGAATTCGACATGGAGTACTTTGGACTCTGTGAAAGGTGAGGGAACATGCAATCACTCTTASTGTCTTCCCGGTAGCTGAGAAATCAAGATGGTTGGAATCTAAGTTGGGTATCACGCCTCTCTCCTCCCCCCGGGTGACACATTCTCCAGCAAGACAGAGGAAGATAATTACAATATCAAGTCATAGAGGAAAAATGTGGATCGAGAAAACTTCATGCAGACCTCCTGAACCAGATAAAAAGGAAAGATGAACACAAAACAGTGGAAAGCTGTATTTTGCAAGTTTGTGGGAGTGAACACTACAGCATATAGTTTTGCTGCATACTTAATGAATGCACATCAGCCACTTCCAGTGCACAGACAGGAAGAGAACAGAGGTTGCCAGACATTAACCTAGACTGACACGTGTGGGAGTGGTACAGCCCACACTGTAAAACTCAGATGCTACTGAGGGAAAGCCAGTCACAATGTACAGGAATGGAACATCTTCCTGGTAAAATGCAAGCCTGATGTAAAAGTTAGGTGAGGCATGTCTTTGCTGCCTGTGATGGGGTTACTAGATCAAAAATGTAAGTCTATGAGATACCTGCAGGCCTAGGTTATTCAGGCCACAGAAATGGCAGTAAGTCAAGTACAGACACAAGTCCTTTATGCTGGATATGTTATTCAGTAGACTAGAAGCATAATTTAAAGCCAGTGTCTTAACTCTACCCTGTCCTAGTTTCCTTACCTGCTTATTTGGGTTGCCATTTCCACATGCCTTTACTATCTAGAAGAAGCCTATTTAGTTCAATAAAAGTAGATGCTGTAATTTGTTTTGGATACAAAAGTAAGCCCACTTACTTACTTASAAAAGCAAGCCTACACAGGAATCTTACTCTTTCAGGTCCTTTGCAGACTTCAGATTATTCTGTCAAGTCTTGTACGCCCAGCATAAGATCTGTACAATTATCCCCTTCATCTTGCTCTCTTTTTGGTTGACCTTAGGCCCCCACCTTTGCAGTGCAGCATCCCAGCTTCAGTAGAAGCCCATACCGCTAAATACAGCTGGCCAAGGTGATCTGTGAATCGGCTCTAGGGATACATGATGCCATGCTGTATTTGTGATTACACTGTCAAGTTAGGCCTGCAACCCTACAGACAACTCCCACACCCAAGTCCAGCTCCAGCTTGTCACTCCCCTTCACTAGATCCCAGTTCCCCTCTGTCACATTTATTGACGGGGACCAGTCTCTGGTATTTGGAAATATTATTTAGACACCTGCACAACAAACAAGACCAGAAAGTGTCTGAGATCACAGCTGTGGTGCAGAGCGAGCAAAAGCTGTAGGGTTTATGCAAATCTGCTCTCCTCATCCTTGTCAGGAAAGATATTTCAAACACAAGTAGTACACAAAGGGGATTCTTTATGAGGCACCTGGGCGTAGAGGGAGGGAGCCTGAGAACTGCACAACCTCAGACATTGGCAGCAGGCTAATGCCATCCCACTGGGTCTTTGCATCTTGGCTTGGATTCCGGAGACGTAGGAATGATGGCTCAGCACGTGATCAGCGTCTGCCCTCGTTCCTACCTTGTCTCTAGATGCACAGCAGGAAGAGCAAGATGGGAAGTTCGACTGATCGTTAGAAAGCACTTTTAATCAGACCTTCATGAAGATCACAAAGTCATCAGCTCACGGTGACGGATTGCCAGGGACTCTATGATGAATGCATTTGCAAATATTGCTGCAGAATAATTTCCTTCCGTCGCCAGAGCACTCCAAACAAATTAGATTCCCTCTAATCACATCTCATGTCTGTGGATGAGGAAAGATGGGCCCGTCAGCATAAATGTGTTTAGGGGGTGGGTGGCAGAGGGGAGAGAGTGAGGCAAGGGTCTAGATGCAGCATACAGGCAGATGAGGCAATGGAAAGCTGCCCAGCTTTGAGAAGAGGGTCTGAGCAGTGGTTTGGATAATCCCAAACATGCTAACAGCCCCTGCTTGCACACCCGACAAAACCAACACCACAGAATAGAGAGAAAAGCCTACAATTCACCTGGAATTTTGGACAGTACAGAAGAAAACGAAGGACAGTAGTGCCTTCACTAATTTCATTTATCCATAGAGCACAGTCCCACAACTCTTTTTTATGCCTTGAGGTTAAACAGATGACTTGAAACTGCTACCACGATAAGATAAAGGCTGTCCTGCTTGTGCAGTCTTCCCCATGCCTGACCCCAAGCTGGGATACTTGAATAAAAGAAGCAGGGGGACCAGCTTCCCAGATAATCCAGCACAGGTGACTCACACATTGCAGTACTGGGATGGAGACACAGTAGGGAAATTTTAATKAGTACCATGTGGCCATTATGCCCATGCTGGATACATTCAACAAAGCTGGTAGCTCTTCTAATTCATACTAAGCCCAAGCATATTAATTTTAAGCTCTTTAAAACTGGGGACACAACAGGACTTAAATATAAACATAAGSCAGGAGTGAACAGCACTGTGAGTTTTTTTTTAAGTAGGAAGGATATAGAATAGCCTCTTTTGTGTTAAGAGGATGAGCTAAGAAAGATGGCTGAAAACTACTACTTTCTTTACATCACATTTAGAATAAATGTTAGAAGTTGAACAGGAAGATTGTTGGCAAATAGCAGGCTTAGACCAATGTCATGTCCATGATCTGAAATTTTCCTGAATTCATTAAATAACCTAATGCCTCCATTGCTCAAAAATAAAGCGTCATTGCTTAGTGACATACTGCTTAGAGACTAACCCTGCAAGTSACAGGGTATAGTGGCACTGGGTATATTCCTTCTGTTGCAGAATAGGACAAGTATAATCCATGGAGTTAGTTTTCTCAAATAGCAAGTCCAAGACTTTYTTCACCCAGTTGTCTCCAGCTTAAAATGCACCGTGGCTGTTTCTGCAAGAGAACTGGAACAGCCTAATATTCTTCAAAGACAGACCTTGCCATATTTCCACACACGGGTTATAAAAGAGCACAACAGGTAAGCAGGATGCTGGAGAAGGCAAGAAKTACAGCATGTTTTTGCAAGTACAAAGACCATGGGACTGGAGGTAGAAAGAATTAAGTGCAATGCAAAATTTGAGCCRGTTACGTAAACATACAGAAGACAGGACAGAGAGATACTGTGCCTGCATGTCCACGTACATCTGCTGAAGGACACACAGTTGTGCCTTATTCATTTYCCTGTTCCGAGCAAGGGCAGTTTCTGGCTTCCCAATCCCTAGTTGGTACCAACTTGCTTTTCACAGTCCCCATCCTGGCAGCTTGGAAACTCTGCCAAGAGCTTGCTACTGCAAGAAAAATCTAAGCCCAGCCCATGCCCTTTTAATTAGCTTTGAGATCTGGCACCGAACAACCCGCCAGAGAAGAGGCAAAAGTAAAGAAAAAGTCTGGCTTAAAATACGGCGCTGAGTGAGCTCAGGAATTGTGAACAGGGCAGCGAGAAGAGGAGCAGGGAGAGGAAGCAGAGGAGGGAGAGGGGAACTGCTGTGTGGAGCAATTGGCCGCGTTTGCTCTCCTGGAAGCCTCGGTGCGCATTTCCTCCAACGTGCGCTGGATTTGTATAGGGGGCAAACCCTCATGGGCTAGTGGGCTCGCAGCAAGATTTGGGCCAAGCAGCAGGCAGGCTGCTGCCAGCTTCCCCCCTCCTCCTCTTGTTCCCTCGCTCCCTTTCACAGCAGGACCTTCTTATCGGGTATGATAAGCAGCACTCCTGAGCAAGCCTGGCCAGCTGCCAGCTCACGTTCCAGGAGCGCGGCCGGGCGCTGCCGCTGTGTGAGCACACTTTAATAAAACTCTGATTTTTATCTGAACATTTTATTAATCCAGGCTCAGCCGTTTGCCAAAAAAAAAAAAAAGAAAGAAAAAAAGAAAAGCCAATGCATTGAATATGCCAATGTGTGTTCTCTCCAGCTTCTAATACTGATGTACTTATGCCCACAGTCTCCTCTGACCCATGCTGGAACACATTTTCAATGCATCTCCCTGTGGAGTTGCTCCCAAGTTTATTGTTTACCTCAGCCTCATGCTGAGGGAATGGAAAGGGCTCTCTGTGTCTCCTTTTGCCCTCCCTTTATTAGCACAGTAATTTTGAACCGGGTAAATGAGAGAAGAAAAACACTCTCCTTCCCTTGACATGTTCCTTCTGGACTTCCCATACACAGAGCACATGGAGACACACTGGGCTGTGTCCAGAAACCACCTTCGCTTTCTTCTCCTTCTTCTGCTGCTCCACTCTCCTTAAGCACTCCTCACGATGAAGCCATCTCCGCGCTCTCAGAGTGGGCTGAAACATGTACATGTATATTATGTTGCCTGCTGCAACACTGCCGGAGTAAGGGAACAGAGGAGAAGATGCTTGTGTGGGACCAGGCTTAAAAGATGAGATGGATATTATAAAGCATCCAGAGTTAACACACGTTCCATGTCCTGGCTGYTGGATTGATTTTATTTTCCTGATGTAAGACAGCTTATTTTACTATTCTTCCCTCTGTTTTGCCAGTTCAATAACRGGACTACATCTTGTGGAAGAACTGTGCTGCCAGGCCATGATAGTCACATAGTGCAGTAGACACCTGCCATCCATAAGACTGATAACAATTGAGAATCCTTTGGGTGAGCCTTTGAGTGGCACCAAGCACCTTGAAGGTCTATGATACTGATTCCTATTCCACGTCTGTAATCTTCATAAAGAGAAAGTCCACATTTGCCCACCACTTTTTTTTTATATTCTTAAGACTTTACCACCATAAGCACCATCTCAAAGTACTKCATCTGATTTCCAAACCCTGCTCAWAAACTTCTGTAAGCAGTTTGCCTTCCATCCCACTTAATCCAAACTAAATCTCAAAATCCAAGCCTACTGTACAAGCTGAGACACCTTATCATTCCTTTGAATAAAGTTCATTTCTTAAAGCTCATGACCAAAAACCTTYGGGATTCTCCTTCAATCCACTCACTGCCCCCTCTTTTCCATCTGATTTGTGTTAGCGCACACACACATATGGCACAGACAACAGAAACACCAAGTGCTGGACAACCTGACCTGCATCTTAGGAGGTGAGATGATGTGAGAATGTAGGATGGCTGGATGGCATTTCCTAAGCCAGAGCCARAAGATTTCATAAGCAGCTCAAAAGGTAATCAATAAGCAGGAACTTTGAAGCGAGCAGCTAGGATGTCCATCTAGCTCCTTCTACTCTAACCATTCATTTGGGCAGTGAGGTATTGGAAGGTGGAATGTTTTTAAGAGACTGGCAAAACGAAAGTAAAAAAACAAGGGAAGATGGACTTCTGGGAGACAGCTGGAAAGAGGTTCATGAGATCAAGGCTCAGMCCTGCTGGAGACATTACATGCGATAAGTCACTGTGCCTTAGCTCCTTCTCTGTATATTTGGGATGGTCAAAATAATCCAGTCCTGAATCCTGGCTTSAGCAGCAATCATAAAATAAAGCTCGAGATGGTGATTAAGAATTAGAGATGGTGTTCACCTAATGGCTATGAACATCAACGAGGTAGGAAAAATAGATATAAGCATAAGGGACAAGAAGGTGAAATATGTCTAACAGTGCCATGGCAATAGGAAGATCCTAAGTCCTACTCCTGTTGGGGTTTTACTCCCTGCACTCCCTGTCTGTGTTTCCTTAGACAGAAAACAAGCTGGCTGCATTTGCTGGCAAAAACATAACACTGGAATGCTTCATCCAAGTCTTTATTTGTGTTTCGTTTCCTTTTCATTGGTCAACTAATTCTAGAGAGAATATAAATAAATAAAACCAGCAGAMAAAACCAACTCACACCCCTCAGCTACCTACAGTCAATCAAACTGCCTCCTGCACAGGATCACTCCAAGGTTCACAGGATACCATGGCTTGCCTGCTGTAGGCTTTGGGTATACAATGCTAATGATATCACTGTAAAAGGGCTGAAGCTTCAACTGGTTTTGTTAAGACTTGTAGGCTGCATTCTCTAAAAAGCAAGAGACTCTTGATCCTAGACTCTGGATAGTGAAGATGCCTGCACCAGACAGAAAGACTTAGCTTAGGACCTAGAAAAAGCTTGGCCGTATTACTGCAGCACTCTCCCCATGCTTCTGCACTCAGGACAGCTACGTAATCTCACTAGTAGTCTTTCCACACACAACTACCTTGCACCAGAGATAGCTCAGGTGGTCTGGCACAACACTGAAATGTTTGAAATGTTTATGTAGACAGAGAGACAGTCTTGCTATTTGTGAGCCTATAGTTCTGCTGTCATTCAGTCTTTCCATACAGTCAATCATAYGGGATAGGCATAAAGAAAACTATCGCTCTAATGATCAATTAACTCAGAAAATTCTCTTTCTGAAAATGCATTTACTTCACAGCTCAATCTGTGGTAATGTTTAAATACTCTCTTCTATTAGGATATGATCTCAAAGCAGAAGTGGGAACATCTTTCATACATCCAAAATCATGGATGCTCTTCTCATATTACAACCTGGTAGCATTAGGTCTTTAAAGAAGTCAAAGAAGTCTCTTTCAGTGAAAAGTTTAGCATTRAGAAGGTAAAAGCCTTGATGAACATAATATAGGCAACAAAACTTCTAGTTTTGCCTCGTGAGCAAAACATTAGGAGGACTATTGAAGGAACAGAGCAAAATACAACACTTTCTTCTTTAAAACCATGATTCCAAGCACAATGACAGGAGACAGAATCCTCTCACCTGAGATGAGTCAGTCCGAGCTGAGGTCTGAGCTGGGGAAGGATAAGTAGTGAGTTACTGAGGATGACGTTTCCTTATGATCTCAAGATATTAGTATAAAAACCATCTTATCATTTTTTGAAAACACAATAATTGATCAACCACTTACAGGATTTTTCCCAGGTATGGATTATTAAAGGGTGCATCCTGAACTGCAGAGCAGAATCCAACAGACTGGACAGTCTCTCCACATGAGGTTGAGGACTATGGGAAATCCAGGGGGTCAACTTCAAGTTTAGCTCGCCTCTGCCTTGTAGCTAAGGAGAAAGCAAATCTCAATTGATCCCAGCCACATGGGACACTGCCTTGGTATAGAAGAGAATGATAAAAGTGCTACAATCCTCACTTGAAAGTGTAGGTTTATCGCTCCAAGGATCTCTGCTAGGAAAATGCTTTTCCCTGTGAACTGGTGAGGCAGTAGAGTACACAGAAGGAATCCAAAGAGCTTGCCAGCCTCTCCATAGCATGGTGAGGGCTGCTCTCATGCTCCCCAGCTATACAGATGACAGCTGCTGTTCAAAACATCTCTCTTCACAGGCTCATGCAATATTTGTACAGAGCAATAATATCCTAAATGTCTTCTAATTATTCCTCTGGATTAATGAAAATGTGTTATATTATTGACGGGTCTTTTGCAATATTTATAAAACACGGATCGGATTAAGGAGGAATAAATAAATATGTAGAGGTTGCCTAACATGTAAATAATAAATATTCAGTCATCTATTTTTTTTGCAAGATGGTTTAAATATACAGCATTTTCAATAAATCTTTAATAACTCTGCAAATATTTATTTATGTGCTTTGAAGCACAAGGGAATTGCGAGAAAGCTCTGCAGATTCCAGAAAGGGCAGGCAGATGGAACGCCTGCCCTACCACGCAGCTTTCAACCGTTTTCTGGCAAAGAAAGAAAACAGATCCTGCACTGTTCCAGGACTAGAAGCAGAGAGAGGGGCAGGAACTCAATGGAGACACATCCCCCTTGCCTCACAAAAAGCCACACACACCAGCCATCATCGCTGCACAGCACAACAGCTATGCTCAGCCAACACCTCATATATTGCAAAACTCAAGCTTACATTGCAGACAGGTCCCCAGATCTCCAAAGGCTTACAAGCCCCAGTCATCCTAATTGTAAGAGACTACTGAAAGTATATTTGTTTCRGTTTCCAAAACTACGCTGAGAAAAAAATACAGGGAGAAACACGCTAGTTGTGACTTACTCCCAATTTTCACAGGARTTTTTAGTTTTTCCACACGCTAATACAATGACATTAGATTTTTTACAACTGTCTATTGTATTAAACACCCTGGAACCTGCAGTAAAGAATACTACTGTTCTCCCCCAAGAGAAGCTGGAGTTTGCCCAGTTAAAGGCCCATCTTTGACTTTGGATGTTCAGTACCCTACATCCTACTGGTGTCAATCATAACTGAGAACATTCAACCTCCCAGAAGACCCCAGGTCATATAGGTTATTTTAAATTCAAAGACCATTACATTATCAAGAAGTTCTGCTTTTCTAGAGGCACTATAAAGTTTATCGGTCACGAACCAGAATAACACCAGGGTAGGATATCAGAATGAGACTCTTCTGAAATACGTTTACATAGCATCAAGTGCCTGCTAAGACAATGGCTTTTTGTAATCACTTGATATGGTAAGAAAAGCTTTAAAATTAAATGCCCAAAACACAGTTAAAACATTTAATTTTAATGGGACAGGATGGTCATTGCATGTTAAATAAATACTGATTGTTAAAAGCAAGCTGAGTTGCTGAGTTTTAATAGCTGTGCAGTAAATAACTGTTTATGCATCTATTACRTGGATTTGGACGCATCAGCAAATATGCTTTTAATAATCAATTGATACTTAACATATAATATCTGTCTGATTAAATCAAAGGAGATGGATGCAGCTGCAGTAATTACTGCATATTGTTACAATACCAGTGAATCAGGGAAACATATTTATTAAGGTGGAAAAAAAGTCAGAGATAGATGCACATCTCCTTGCCTGTCTCCTTACTGCAGTACCTTGGGCTGTCATCTCATTGATTTTCCAAGATAAGCAATGTTCACCCTAGTCAATGCTTGGGTGGGATACCACCAAGGGAAACCTACAGTGCTGAGGGAAATGGTGCTAGCAATTCAACCATGACTGCTCTTTCATTTTCCAGAAGGAAACTGTGAAACCCCAAGCCCTCTGAAGCGTAGCATCCCTAAGGGGCTACTGCTCTCCCCCATGCATAGTTAACCCTTGCACATGCAGTCACTGACGGAGCCACTGGTTTCCACACCCAAGCGGACTTCACAACACGTAACCACAGTCCAGCTCCCCAAACTGCTAAAGTTCCTAGATGCAGCACTGCTCTCCATTTCTTGTCAGAAAGATACCTCCWTCTGGGATAGGCCAAAGAAATCAGAACCTGAAAGCCTCCTTTCTGTCTGCTCAGGTATCCTTTTCTTGCTCCAGAATTTCCTAGAGCAAATACTCTGCCAGGCTACACCCCTACATCTATGGTGGGGCAGGACCAGTAGCCAAAATGACATTTGTTTTACACACAGAGTGATCACTCAAGTCACAGTTCAGTCCCTGAAATGGTGAAAAACAAGGTGGCTTGGAGCACCTGGATTTCTCCACTTTCGGAGAAAGAAGATCCACCTCAGATGGGTGAAGATCTCCAGAGAACTGAAGATCTACCTCAGATCCAGTTCAGAACCTTGGCCAGTGGGAAAAAAAAACAAGTTCCTATTTGCTGATATCTGGAATAAAACCACCCTGAGGCCACACATTTAAAGCCAAGGAAAGAAAATTCTGGCATAGGCTCTAAGTTCTTAAACAAACAGTACACACTTGTTACAAATGCACAGTGTAGGAAAATCCAGCCTGTATTAAAGACAGCTAGGAAAATCCTCAATTGTGTACTTTGCTGTAGGCCACCCTAAAGCAAATAATACCATGGCATTCAGCAAATGCTGTGGGCTGGCTCCTTTCTCATGTGTAAAAGCACAGAGAACGAAATGATTCCATGCAACTCAAGTCCTAGTTTTAGCATACTTGAAAAATGAGTTTCTCAAGATTTGACAAAATATAAAGACCCTCAAGCCTTCTTCCTAACCACATGGCTGGACTGAAAATAAACAAAATGCCTGGTGATTATGAACCAGTAGAGGAGAGCACACTAACTCACCAGCCAAGTTCACTGTCACATGATGTCTTTAAAAAGGAACAGAAAACACCTCGTTCACCAACGTTATTAGCAGTGCACTAATAACAACAATAATGATTTGGATTCCCAGGGGCAGTTTTTATCCTGAGATCTCAAAGCAGTTCGCAGAAAGATGACTGAGTATCAGCCTGACCCATCCACTGCTGCCAAAAGGTGCAGCAGTTTCAGACTTGCAGGCAAGCTGCACTTCCCAAGAGCCCAGACTTCCTTCCTCTAAAARGATCTTGCCACTTACCTATTAATTGTCAGGGTAGGATAACAGGTACTGTAAAATCTTATGGTTTGAGAAACTTAAGAGGATTTTCAAACAATAGTTCTCCTCCTGGCCACTCCAAAACACCTCCGGCCAACACACAGCAATGCACCTTTGGCCATTATGAGATTTTCCTCACTTTAAAGCATGAAGTCAAAGACACGTAAAACAGCACATGCCCAGGTGGATCAGTGACTCAAGTGGGTTATGGCCGTTGTGGCAACGAGTAAGAATACTGGATCCAGGCAGGACTAGAAATTGCTGTTCCCTGAGCACCAAAATTAACACCACCAGGTTTTCTAGAGGATTGYGGGAAAAGCCAGCAAGTGAGGCTATCATCTCTCCTGGGTAGAGATTCTGCTTTCCAAAAGTACTGCTGAATTCATTAACACCACAGCACTAACACAGCCACTCTCCTCTTCTCATGAAAATTATCAGGAGAGAATGCATTTGAAATATCAGGTTAGCTGAAATAAGCCAAAATGTTGTAAAGTTGCATTAGTCAGGCAGGTAAGATTCCCATACAGACTACATTTCCTTATTAAAACGGAGTGAAAAACAGGGAGAAGAAACATTGAAGTGATGTCAGCTGAATGGCTCGAGCGGAAGGAAGCATCCCAACACAAAGCTCCTCTTCATCCAAACAGTCCTGCCTAAATCAATGGAGCTACTCAGCAAATTGGCCCTAAAATGGGCTTCCCCTGCTCAAGTTCTGTGGAGACAAAGAACCACCCCTGCATCAACTCCTCCTGAGCCATCACTAGTAATAAGATCAAGCTGGTGCAAAGGGGGCTTTGAGGAAAACATCTGCCGCAGCCATGACACTGGATGCAGGGCATGACCTGGCTGCAGGCCCCATTGCACCTGATCTATCTCTAGCCACACAAGGAGCAAGTCACCTCCCCACATCACTCTGATCTCCCACTTACTCACTCCCTCACCCCCAGCCCTGCCATCTGCAGAGYCCCGCAACCACAAATTAGGGCACACACAGAGGTAGCTGGTTTGTTTTTTATCGTTTCGCAACTTCTTATTTATGAAAATGCTCCAAGCGCCTGGATACGGATCAAGTTTCCCTGCTCAATATTTATTAGCATCTCACCTGCCTCACCAGAACGGGAACTGCGGGCGCTTTGATTAATGGATTGGAAAAAGAAACGTATAGTTTCCCTGTCGCCTCAGTAAGCGCCTCCCTGTATCTTGTGCCGAGACTCTATTTTATAACATCACAGTCCTCGGTGAATCTCTGCTGATTGCTTACTGCCTCCCCATAGCAGCTCTCTGCTCAGAGGTGCTGGGTGGCACGGTGTTTTATCCTTTTGCTGGAGGTGCAAGAGCACTGAGGTGCTATGTCAACTAGAAATAGGCCCTCTCCGTAGGGCAATAAAAGTGCCGACTTAAAATATCATCCCAATGGCAGCAGCAGCTTGGGGAATAAACTAGGCTCTTCTGGACTTCTGGGTACCTCTGAGCACTGAGAAAAGAGATTTCCAACTGTAGCCAGAGTGCTCTCCCGCAGCTTTACCCCAGCTGAGGGCACAGCAGCTTTAGCAGAAGTTTGCAGAGCCAAGAGGCTTTGCTTGCAGTGCCTGAATGCCCTAGGCCTCTGCCCTTCCTGACACATCTAGCTGTGAAGTCTGGGACCCTCTCTATGCCAGCCTGCCGTTCTCAAACCAAGCAGGTCTTGCACTCCGGTCTAGCATGAGCCACAAAGGGCAAAGTTCAGAGCAGGACAC